GGGTTGTAAATAACTCTTTATTTGTATTTATAATAATAATAGAATATTACAATTATTAATTAATATGTTATATGTATTTTTTATAGTATTATAAAATCAGATCCGGCTAAAGAGGTAGGCGACATAGGCTCACGCCTGAGGCGGCATTAAGCATTAATTATTTTTAAAGTATAAACTATTTTTAAAAAAATATTACAATTCCCAGTAGCTACTCATATAAAATGATGTGTGGTAAAAAATATGACTATAAATTGTTTTGTTTTATTAGTAGTGGTTTACTTGTCATTACAAATGTATTGATCTAATCCAAAGTTCCATAGGCGTGCGCAGACTTTGTCCACAGGGGGGGGGCCTTAAAAAAGTGAACCAAAGATTCTTGTACTAAAGATTACTAGTATAATTAAATATTTTAAATTGTATAAATTATTTATTTAATTCAATATGCAAAAATAAATACTATTTAAACTTACACAATTTATATCTAAGAAATCCTTATTTACATATTATTATACTATTTACAACTCCATCCTTTTGTCCACGGGAGTAAGGTTTTTGAATGTATCAATTACATCTTCAATTTTTATATTATATGCAAGTTCTGATTAGTCTGATTAATAACTAATAACTTTATTACATTTATTCACAGGTATCAATTCTATACTATAAAGTTAAAACGGGCTTCACTTTATTCATGTAAAATGTAAAAATGTTCGCTATCTTGTATAGTATAGATATACATTTATTAAAGAAAAAGCCAGTCAGCAGGGGGGACCGCGGTCAACCCGGTCACCCCCGTGCGCACGCCAATGCAAAATTCTGCAACCTTTTGAACCACGGGAGCAATATTTTTTTTTCAAATGTTTATCAAAGGCAGCATTAAAAAAAAAAAATGTTTACATATGATATATAGGTACTAATAATTGTATTTTTATTATATTTAATTATTTTATATAGAAATATGAGTGTAAAAAATACGATTGTTACTGGAAAAATTTAATTTTTTGACAAATTAAACATAATGGCTTACCTTTGTTTTCGACGAAAAAGTATAAATCAACCCAAGAATTATTAAAAAAAAACCGATGTTCATTATAAATTTTTCTTTTTTTAGTCACCATCTTTGAATTTACTTGTAAAATGTAACTATTACAAACACAAACAGTCACACGTACGGACGTAATCACGGTGTAATACTAATTGCTACAAACGCAAAGTAACTATGACCATAGATTCAATATATTTAAAATTTTAATTTTTAAATATATATAAGTATATTTAATTTATCCTATGACTGAGCAGTGCAGCCATCATTATTTTCAATTCCGATTAGATAGTTATAACAATTTTATAGATTAAACTGACTATATAACTATATAAAATAAACATCAACTATTAACGATTAGATTAAATTTCATTAATAAAGAAAAAAGAATTGAATAGTACTGAAAATTGTATGAAAAATTTTATTGAATATAAATTAACCACTTTTGTGCGGTCCATAAAAAATTGATTCGCGGGCCGCGGGTTGCTGACCACTGTTCTAATGGCATGTGCCAGTTTCGTGGTCATAAAATCTTATAAAAAAAATCATAGTTTCATTAATTTATACTTAGGATTTGATGGGTCCCATAGAATAGGATGCGCTTTGTATAAATTAATTATCGTGATACACTGATCGTCAGATAAATCCATAATTTATAAATTAATATTTAACTACCTATCAATTAATTTACAAATAAATGTGACACTAAAAAACAGTTGATTATTAAACCCTCAAATGCAGGTGAACACAAGTGAATCTGTTGTGACGGTCCGAATGACGTTCACACTGAGCAAATGGTACAAATGGCCATTCGTTCGCGTTCGGCGTACTGTTTACACTTAATCGTTAGTGAGCCAAATTCGCGTTCGTCGGCGTTCACGGCCGTCTGTTCAAGTTTTGATTCTTCAAGTGTACAGTCAGTATCTAGTAATAGTACTAATAGTGTTGAACAAAACAAAATCCTTATGTAAGGAGTATTTTGGCCCTTACCGTGGCAGTGTTCAAAATAAATAAATAATTAATTCTGATAAACATGTACCTAATATAAAGCGTAGACTAAATTGTTTTAATTATTATTATTTTGCTATTTTATTCATAGTAAGATTTTCTGATTTCTATTAATTTTATTTTTAATTATATTTTTTTGTTATTCTTACGAAATATTTGTTTTGATTTGTTACCAACTTATTTTATTTTGATTTGTGATAAACATGTAATGTAAAGAAAAGTCTAATTTGTTTTAATTATTATTATTATATTTCTATTTTATTCATAGTTATACAGTAAGGTTTTCTGATTTCTATTAATTTTGTTTTAATTTGTTACTTATTTTGGTTTGAAGAATATTATTATTATATTAATATATTTATTCATTTTTATAAATTATTACTTATTTACTAATTATTATTACAACAGGGTTTCTTTTTATTATTATTAGCATTTTTAAAAAGTTTTCTAGTTGTTTTTTTGTACTTTAATTTGTTTTATTCAATTTTTACCTTGTAAAAATGATGATTTGTGTTTTGATATACAAAATTTTATTGTTTGAGTTATAATATAATGTTATTATTCATTTAAAATAATTGTTTTCATATTTTAAAAAAAGTGGTAAAATATTTTACCAGCGGTCACTAGGTGTTGAACCATGACCTAGACAATCATTGGTCGATTATTTTACCACCTTGTAAGTCAAAAACTTACAGGAAAATTTTTTTTTTTTGTCAATATTGAATACAAACAATCCCATCATATCAGAAACAACATTTTGAAGTGATCGGACTAACAGCGCCTTCCGCCCTATAAAGGGTTAAGCGACGATTTTACTACTTTTCAGGAGAACAAAAACAAAATTTTCATATTTTCTTAACTTTAACGTTGGCGCTTCGATAATTCTTTAAGCATTAGGAATAAGGTTATTATTTCCATTCTATTACATGTTATCTTGCTGGTCTGACGCTAATCACATTAAAATATTTAGTACATTTTTTATCATAACGAATTTAACTAAACTTACCTTTTTTTGGCGCCTAGCTCTATTTTCATTTTTTTTTTTTTTTTGTGATAAATGGCGCTTATAAATTGTTCAGTAGACATGTAACGATTGTGAAACGTAAGTATGTATACCTAGGACGTATAAAGAACTTTACTCATATAATCACTTACATAAATATAAAAAATGGTTTGATACTCATTAGTCATATTATTATGATTATTATGAAAGTTGATAAGCAACAATCGTAGGGGTCAAGTGCCATGAATTTGTCGTTTAGCCCATAAAATTTCCAACAATGTCGCTTGTCCCCTTTTTACCAGCCGATATTCCATCGTACCGGACGAACTCGTTTAGGGCGTAGACTCTGCGACGGGAACGCGGTCCGTAAAAAAAGAAACGGTACCCTTCCGAAAACCGATAAATACCGCACGTTTAATTACGCGCGTTCGTCGTGTCATACGGCACGTGCCCCTGCGCACAAGTGTTTTGTATGCGCGCGCGGTACATTTCCGACGGACGGTAACTTACAGACAAAACGGTGCACGTCGTTCGCTTTCTACGTTTTCCAAAGCCGTATTTAAGGGGGGGGGCAGACACTTCGATATTTTACAAATATTTAAAATAATTATTTATTTTTAATACCGACGTAAATATTTTCAGTCAGAAATGACTTGAGCTCCAATTAATCGTTGACCGTTCTTAGTTTTATATGCGTGATATCATATGAAAATATGATATTGATTTTGATAGAAGATGTATTAAAAATAATAGACAGTTTATCTAATTAAATCTTTTTCCTTCTTATTTTCAAACAAATATCAAAAAACAAAATCTAAATTTAATAACATTACAACATACATGTTTTGGATCTGTCCACCGAAAAAAATTTCTAGATACGACCTTGACCGTGTCCGATTTCAACTGACTCCTCGTCGCGCGAGACGACGAAAGGATTCCGTGTTGTGTCCTCGGCAAACACACGTACGGGTTGTATCGACGGTGATAAGTAGAGGTCGGATTTTTATGATTTTTTCATATTTGTTTCTAGTATATGCAGTTCAACAGGAGTGAGATATATTTACGATCCTTGAAATACAGAAATTAACAGAAAGCAATTTATTTTGCGTACAAAAGCATATTTCAGGTGTTAGGGAATGCTCTAACACGTTAGAGAATATTTGAGAAATAGTTTCGAAATATTTTTATTTTTGCAATTATTTTTTTCGAAGAAAATAATTAATAATTATGTTACTTATTATTTGTCTGCACATCCCCATGTACATGTTACGTAAATCGGCATTTTAATAATATCGACCAACAAATACAGAATTCATAATTTTAGTTGTTTTTATATCAGTCTATAAAAATGAATCGCTAGATATTATGAGTAATCCACGTACGGTTGAAATTGGCGTTAAAAGCGATTTGTTTTTGTTAAAAAAATTTTATTGTAAAACAAATAAATAATAACATTTAATAAACAATTAACAACAATTAATTAACAATATTTGAAGTTTTTGCTTTAGCAACATGATGTAGTTGTCTTTATAATTATTTTTACAAATTACTATTACCTATTATTTAGAACTCTTTAATAATCCTCCTCTATTTTTTTACATCAATTAATATGGAATAAAAATATTTATGACTAAAGTTTAGTTAACTTTATGTAATAAAGAATATTATCATTCAGTAGCATACCTAACTAGGATTTTAAAATAGAGGGCGCCAAACCAAAAATACTAAAAGAACATAATCAACAATTAACAATAAGTTTGTTAATATATTAATTTTTATATTAAGTTCATCGTATTAAATATATTTTATTTCGTTATAATAACATTTCAATTTATTAGTTTAATTATTTTGACTAATCAAACAATAAAAGACGTTGATGAGATTTTGAGAAAAAAATGTTTTCATTATTTATTTCTACCAAAAATCAAAATAAAAAATTGATTGTAGTTAACGCAAGCTTCTATTTTTTTTCATATTAGTTTTCTTTTGAATTGAGTGCCCCAAATCACGAGGGCCTCGGTGCGTCGCATCTACTGCACCACTGCTACGCCGCTGTGTAATACGATTATTGATTAATAATTTAACGATAAAACAATAAGTGTTAGTATACAACTTACCAAGTCAATAATAATATTATTGATTTCATTTCTAACTTTTTCAACATAATCCTTGTGGCCTTTAATCAAAACTTGACTTGAATTGGAACTAGCTTGTGGAAATTTAATAGTAACTCCATTATGTTTCCCACTTATCTGGTTTATTACATCAGAGTGGTGGGCAACAAAATGATCATGATATTTTGGAGGAACGTTCATAGTCACTTCAATTATGTTTTTCTATAAAATTTTAATGTATTACGAAATTATAATTATTATTATTGTATTATGATTCTGGTATATATATTATTTAAATAAATTAAAAGGTTAAAAAAAAAATGGTTAACTTATTTAGTTATGTTTAGGTAATCGATGATTATTTTAATTTTTTATCTTAAATTGTTTAATTTTATATGATATAAAATATTTTATATTTATATACAATAATAGTTCATTATTGTAAAGAAAACTATGAGCAATTATGTAAATATAATCTCAATACAATTTCAATAAAAAATAGACAGGTTAGTTTAATACACGTGCATTTGTATTGAATTATACATACCAAAACTTTAGCATGGCCTGCAAGTCTTTGTTTAGAAAGAGCAACATCTGCTTTACTATCACTGATCACAACTCTATCTCCAGCACCAAGATTAGGAAATTCAATTTTTACATCGCCACATTCATTTTTCAATTTGTGTATACATTCTTTTTGTTTGACAACTAAAGTGCCATGATTCTTTTTATTGATTTCTGCATGTTCTTCCATGACTTTACCAATATCGGTTATCATAACTTCAAATTTTGCTTTTGCTATATTAACATTCTCTTTTTTACCAACAATAGTTATATTTTCATTAGTGGAATCAGTTTCAGGCGGGAAAATTATTCTTGTATTCGTTAAATGTCTTATCTGGAAACCAAGTATAAAACCATAAATGTACCCTTAAATTAAACTATTTTAACAACATACCTTTTTAACATTGGCCCCATTTGTTCCAATTAAATATTTGTGAAACTTCGGATTTACTTTCAAATCAAACACATATTTATGAACTTCATCAACCATTGTCTGAATTTGTGTAATAACATTTTTAACATCATCTTCGGGTCCTTTGATAACTATAGTCTAAGAATAAAAGTTTAGCTTTAAAATAACGGTTTACTATTTTTTTAATAGATTTTAGCATTTGGGAAATTTTCTTGAAAATTTACTTATTGTATTAGGGGAGGAGAAGCAGTTTCATCTCTTGAGACAATCGTTTCCTGCTCAAAGAGAGAAACTGCCAGAGGCCAGGTTCGAATCGATGTCTAAGCGTATATCATGCATATAATAACTTATACAATTGGTTAAATTGTCATTTTAATTTATAAGTTTAATAAATAAGTGTATTCTTACATTATCTCCTTTAACAGTTGGTAAATTCAATGTCACATTATCCCCAAAATCTTCTTTTATAGATTGAATGAATTTATTCCCAAGATTTACAATGGCATTTCTAACTTTAACATTTCCCAACACCATTTCCTTTGTTATTATGTCTCCCTAAAAATACATGATTGATAAATTAAAAATAAAATTGAAAAATAAATAATCTTTATAAAAAACTAACAATTTCATTTTGTATTTCTTTAATCATATCATAAGCGATTAAAACTTTTCTTTTATTTCCCATGACTTTAATAACACCCTTATTGTCTCCTTCGCGTGGTAAAAATATTCTCGTATCAGTCTCTTCTCTAATCTAGAATATTAAATTATGTAATTAACAATATTTCTAAAGGTCGAATCACAAAAGTTAATAAATAATAATTACCTTTTTAATAAATATTGCTCTCTTTCTAGCACTAAGTTTGTGAAATTGTTTAAAAATAGGAATTTCCATCACATAGTTGATTTCATCCAATACTTCGGCCAATTCAGCTAATGATTTAAATGCTTTATTTACATCATCGTTCAAACCTTGTATTTTAACTAAATTATTTCTAGCCTCAACTAAAATATCGAACCAAATATTATTTATAAACTCTCAAAATACAAAAAATACAAACATATTAATACTATTAATACTATTAATTACCTGGACTGGGGAATATAATTTTAACATTAAATGTTTTCTGAAGTTCTCGAACTTTTTCACCATTAAAACCAATTATCGCTCCGTGGTGACGTTGATCAATTTTTATTTCTTTTTCAGTTTTACTTTTCAATTTAATAATAATTTCCTCCAATTCCTAACAAAAATTTTAATTATTAAAAAATTACGAAAGAAACTATTTGATGGAAATTTATTAAAATACCCGATTTCGTTA